GGAGTTGTCTTTGCACCACAAATAAAATACAATTGAGTCATTCGCCCTGTCTACGAGTATGCGGGGAAAAATGATTACTTGTTGTGGGTGGCATTAAATGTCAGATTTATGGAGGATCACCGCCGGCAACATGTTCTCAAATCAATTTGACACTTTATTTGCCAAACGGCCAACGTGGGAATCCTGTCCGGCGGCTCGTCCAAATCCCGAATCTCGAATCAAATTAAATGCAGATCATACATGTAATTCCCGATGCAAGGGGAGTACGGCAAACCGGATCAAATTAATATTTCTGAGCGCGATTGAGGTGCCACGGCTGGGCATTAATCAAAACGTCACCAGATCAGACCCGTCCAGATTGCAGTCCCAGCTTTTGTCCACGTCGGTCCGCCTTTGTGACCAACCGGCGGAAATTCGGCTCGCCGCGATCCAATCGTTCGCTGATTTATTTCAATTATATTCCCCACCAAATACGCACAACGGCATATTAAGTTACCATCCATCGATGGCCTGATTAATCTCTACCAATCTGAAATCTTAAATCCCGCAGCGCGACGATAGCGAGTTGGAGAATGTGAAGCTCACGGCCCGGGAACGCCGGTTCATCAAGTTTGCCTCCGTGGAGTTCGACGATCAGCTCTACATGACCCCGCAGGACTTTTTGGACTCCGTGGTGGAGCAAGAACCCAGACGTAAGTCCAGCACGGAGTTGATTTTATATTTTGTAATATTTATTTTATCTTAAAGCTCGTCTTAAACGACGCCAGCTCTCCAGCGATGAGGTGGACAAATACAAGGAAAATACACCTGCTTTGAAGAAGGGTTCAACACGTCTATTTCGCAATCTAAGAGATAAAGGTAATTTATTTGAGATTCTATGTAAATTACTGGTATTTTATCTTCTAATAGATCATAAACTACATTTTTTGATAGATTAAAAAAGTTTTTTTTTCTTTGGAGAAGTTAGAATCCTAAAAATTGCTTAGGAAATGCTTACAAGCTTTGTAAAGATATCACTACAGCTGCTGCAAAAATACTTGTTTTTCATATGGAATCTGGTCACCTATCTACAACTTCGAATAAATTAGAATTGCCAAGCAGGTTCGTTTGTTAAACTGGCCATTTCAATAAATTCAATTAGCAGACAAGATCTGATAAAAACAGCACATTAGGATAATTTATGGATTGGTGTACTATTACAAATGCTTAAGTACTGTTTTGTACATTGCAATACAGTCTATCAATTGATTAGAATCTGGTCCACAACTACCATTTTGTTAAGTAAGTCACTAAGATATTTTAACTAATTTAACTTTATACATTTTCCTTTCAGGCATTATCTCCTACACGGAATATTTGTTTTTGCTCTCTATTCTAACAAGTAAGTGGACTCTAACTTCACTAAATAAGGTACTTATGTAGAATACAATCCTTTAAGAGCCCAAATCTGGCTTCCGCATTGCCTTTAACATGTTCGACACCGATGGAAATCAGCGGGTGGACAAGGACGAGTTTCTAGTGGTAAATAGGGATTGGTCTTCCCCATCGTATACTCATAATTCATATGGGTTCCTCCAATTGATTTTATTTACTTATTATTTAATATCATTTCAAAAAATGTTTATCATTAGATAATTTCCATTTTGGCCGGCGCTTTAAAAGACACCCAAAATGTCGATCCACAAACCAAGCAAATTGTAAGCATTTCATTTATTAAGTTAAGCTATAATTTAATGGTATTATTTATGAATAATGAAAACTCATTTGAAATAGCTGGCCCTAGGGCTCTGAAGTAAGCTGCACATCACTTACACTTAAGTTTAAGTTTATTTTATACTCCTGATTTTTGTATATTTTATTTTAATTGATACCCCCTTTAAAAACGATTTCGATGGCAGCTATCGCGTTTAGTTTCCTACGATGAGCAAAGTCAAATGAGGAAACCCATGGCAGTGCCTCAAGCGAAGAGGGGTCTAGTAAGTGTTAGCCAAAAGAGTTCCCAAAAAGTATTGGCTATGCTTCGCGAAAACTCCGCTAAAATTGTAAAGAACTCGATATATGCTTGGAGCATATGAAGAAGCTAAGCTTAGTTACGTTGTGTTTTGTTCTTTTTTATTATAGATACGTTTTTGAACTTGCTTTGCTTCGAGTTATCTTTATGTTTTCATAGAGATTTTGATTAAGAATTTTCTATTTTGACTTTTTATTTCGTTATAAGCTTTTTGTTTTGTTGAGTTTTGTTCCTTGCGCTTTTTGTTTTGTATACCAAAAACAGGCCTACACCCTAGAAACGCTCCACCACTTGTTAGACCCTTACTAAACCACCTAACTTCTCTTCTCTCCAACCTAACCCAAAATCCTGCACAAAAAACAAAAATCTATCCCCAAAAAACCGGCATGTACATAAAATCCCAGATGGAGCGCATTTTCAGCGGTGCTTGGAAGGAGAAGCACGGCGAACAAGAGTCGGAGGAGGAGCTCGAGTCCTCCACGCCCACTCCCCTCGAGGTAAGGTCTTCCCGAGTCCCAAGCATGAGCCTGGTGTGACTAACCAATGGGTTATCCTCTCCAGACTATTGCTAATCCTCCATTCCTTTAATCTTTTCCAGCAGGGCTATGTAAACGATGGCGAGGGACTGCAGCGGCGTCATATGGTGGCCACCACCCTGCAGCTGCACTTCTTCGGGAAACGGGGCACTGGGGTGATCAACTATGACAACTTCTACCGCTTCATGGACAACCTGCAGACGGAGGTGCTCGAGCTGGAGTTCCACGAGTTCTCCAAGGGCAACAGTGTCATTAGCGAACTGGACTTTGCCAAAATCCTGCTGCGGTACACTTACCTGGCCACGGATGAGTATGATGTCTTCTTGGAGCGCCTGCTCGAGCGGGTCAAGGATGAGAAGGGCATATCCTTCCATGACTTCCGGGACTTTTGTCATTTCCTAAACAATTTAGACGATTTTACGATCGCCATGAGGATGTATACCCTAGCCGATCGGGCCATTTCGAAAGGTAAACTATTTTTTGGATTTAAAAAAAATATACATAATAAGTATGGTATCTTTCTTAGATGAATTCTCGCGCGCTGTGAAGATCTGCACCGGCTATAGTCTCAGTCCCCACTTGATCGACACCGTGTTTGCCATCTTCGATGCGGATGGCGATGGCCTGTTGTCCTACAAGGAGTTCATTGCCATCATGAAGGATCGCCTGCATCGCGGCTTTAAAGTAAGTGGTCGTTTCTTTGATTACAACGAAGCTCTGGACGCCTACGATGAACCCGATTATCCCCTGTTTGTGGCCTGGCGAAATCGGGTGTGCCGGCACCTGGACTACTTCATCGACAGCGATGCACTTTGGCACTGATTTTTTAGCTAAATTTAATTTAATTAGCGACTTACCTCGTTTTGTTTGCCGCTCTTGTCCTAATCTCGCTGACCAGCATTGAATGTGTGTGTTTGTCTAGTTCTTGTCTCGCCTGTAAGCGTTTTATGCTTTAAGCCTAATGATTTAATTCTCTTAATTTTAGTTTATTTTTAAGACAATAACCCAGCTCAATGACATTTATTTTACATATTATTAATTTTAGTTCTATGTTGAATTGGCCATATAACCATTAAACACTGATATTGACACAGAATTGGTTTTTTATTTGCTGCACATTTGTCCTCGGAAAAACATTTTTGAAATGCAGAGGACAAACCTTTAAACTGATTTTAATTTTCTTTCTTACCTAGAAATTATTGTTTATTTTTAAAACTGCTCATTATCATTTCCATATCATCGAATCGCTTGTCGGAGTTCGGTCATTTGTGACTCACTACTCGTCTAACAATGAAGTGCGATTATATTGTCCAGGTTAAAAGTCCAAGCGCCAGCTGATTAGCAATGAGTTGTATTTTCTCCCCTTAGCAAGATGATGTAGACCCCGACGAGCGTATAAAGGTTGCCATTGAGGTAGTCACGCCAAATGGTGAAGAGGTTAGTGGGCAGCGGAACCCACAAACTGTTTTTCTCTATCTTGCTGCTTATCGATCACTTTAGTGTCTCCCATTTCATTTTCAAAATGTTTTTCACCACCTCGGTAGCGTAAAACTAATCCTAAACACATTGCCTTACAGTCCGTGGCCAAATCGGAGGGCTGGGATGCCTTCAAGTACTGTGTACGCAACGAGATGAAAACCATGATGAAGTCGGCCAATTAAAGAGGACACCATAGCAGCATCGCACAAACAACGAGAAAACAAAGCCAAAGTGAAACAAATGCTAGTTACAACATTTTTCTTCTAAAGAACCAAAATCTCGTGTATAGTAATAGTTTTTATATTTGTTGATCCCTTGAACTATTTATGAATTTGTTATTGAACTAAGCTCCCATCTCTTATAGCCAAAATTATAAGAAATTGTTTACAATTGGCAGTTAAGCCAATTGGCCTCCTTGTTATACATGTATAGCGAAAATAAAATTGTTTTGTAAAATTCGTATTACATTTTTATTTAGTTTTCATTTTGATTAGGCTTAAGAATTCTTAGAAAATGCAACTCGTTATTCAGCATTAAGTTGTCCATCAACTGAAACATTCCATTCTTCAACTTTACAACTAAGTGCTTTTATAATAGGTATAAAACTAAAAACTTTCTGCTTGTCGAGGATCTCCACGAGTGGGAGGAGTGTTGGGATAGGTCTCTTAACTAATGCATAAATATACAATAAGTCTAAGTACTATATATATAAAACTCGAACTATTTGTCTAGGTCAATTTGCACTTGGGCATTAAACAAAAATCAAAAATTATCACAGTTAAATTGCGTGCATTCGACAGACGACACACTACATTATTCTTACTCGGTATACAAAATAGTTTCATTTTTGTTAATTATCGTTGAATATTTTTGCTAAGAACTGAATTGGGAATCGTTTTGGAATAGTTGCATATACACAAATTGCACAATTAAATATTAATAATTAAATTAATAAATGACTAAAACTAAATCTTGTCTATTCTGATCTGTTGGGTTCAATGCCCTAATCCTGTGTTGAAGGCGGTAGTGTCCAGCTTACGTACTTCTCCTTTTCCTGTGTGTCCTTGTGGCCACCGTTGTAGTTGCGATTGTTTCCCGGCTTCGAGTAGCGCCGGAACTTGAAATTGGCAAACACATCACGCTTGCCGTCCGGATCCAGTGGTTGTCCATCTGGCTCCATATTTCGCTGCAGCCCGACTCCGGCAATCGGCAACTCATCGCTAGGCTTACGGAAGTTGTAGAGCCCCTTTCTCTGCTTCAACTGCTGAGCCTGGCTGCTGGCTGGCGGGGGCGTCTTTTTCGGACTACCAATCTTTGGCAGCGGCTTGGGATCCCGCATCAGCATGGGGAACAACGCATCATCCGCGTCAAAGTACCACGGACGTGAAAAGTGATAGCCGGCACTGTAGTACGGCTTGAAGATAGGCTCGTTTGAGCAAATACTGAACGCGTGATAGGCATGTGATATTAGCTGCGGAAAGCGGTCCACCCAGTAGTTGGTGAACTCATGCGGTATGCAGCCCAGCATCTCCTGGGCGGCCGGCGTCAGCTCGTGATAGTGATGCTTCTTGTTGCGCAGAGCACGAAGCAAGTCTCTCACACTCGCGCCCATGTAACCGCGATACTTCCTCAAATCATCTGTAATCATGGGGTCCAGATGCACATTCCAATCGTCTAGTACGACTATTTTTCCGTTCTTCTCCAACGATTTAAGGGGCTCAGCATGGAACTGCAACTTTTCCACACGGTCACTGACATCCTGTAGGAACGAGAGCATTTTGGGCTCATCCCAGAACAGCGGATGGTTGCCAATACAGCGCGCAGGCGGACGTGATTGCGGATCCTTGTGTATCATGTCTGATATTAGTTGTTCAGCAAGTATCTAAAGAAAACGACGGAATGATTAGTACGACTGAAGCATAACTTTTCTTTAAATTACTTACAATTCGGCTGACTTCGCTGTCGTCTTCTGTGCGCAGCTTGGCCAGATTGTACTCATGCGAGAGTATATTGGCCTGACGCTTCAGATTGTCTCCAAAGGCGTGGTGACCCCCACTCAGCACATAGTAATAAACACAGCCCAGTGAGAAGATATCCACAGCAGTTGTCTGTAAATAAGGGATATTAATTTCGGAATATTTAGAACATTATGTTAATATTTATTACCGTTCGCTGGGATCGCATCATTTCCGGGGCTATCCATCCATCGGTGCCAGTTACACCCGAACGGCGGGAGAAACTGGTCTTGCCAAAATTTAGCTTCTTGCAAAGTCCAAAATCGGAGATCATTACACGGACTTTGCCCTTGGCGTCTGGTAGCGAAATCAGAACATTCTGTGGCTTGATGTCGCGATGTACAATGTCGAGGGAGTGCAGATGACTCAATCCAGCTGAAGCCTGGCTTAACACTTGCCAAACATCGATGTGATTTTGCAGTTCCAGCGATCGATCTCCTTCGGTGTAATCCTGCAGAGTGGCAGCGCATAGTTCGACGGCTATGTAGCGGAACTGGCGATCCTGTTCGGTGCAGAAGTAGCGCACCACATTCTCGTGAGCATCCGATTCCCGGAGAAGAGCCACCTCGCGGTCAGCGAAGGTGAAGCACTCGGGCAGCAGTCGTTTTACTGCTACAAAACGCTCCTCGAAGGTTCCCTTAAAGACAAAGGTACCCTCGCAGCCCTTGCCCAGCACCTCGTTTGTGCTGAAACTGATTTTGCCCACTCGCACCTGACCATTACCCAAGTCCACTAGGTCCTCGGCACTCGTATTGCTTCCATTGCTGCCGGTGCTTCCATTAGAACCATTCTGGGCTATGGCAAAAGTCTTTGAGCCGTTCTCGCTCTGCTTTTGCAACTCCCTCATGGTGCTGCAGGTATACCAAAACAGGGCAATCATGCCCAGAACGATGACTATCAATATTTGATGCACCTTTCCGCTAGGGTGCTCCATAAACCACTCGTTGATAAATGCCTGCACCTTATTGCTGTTCTGCAGTATTATTGTCTTCGTCCGGTTAATGGTGTTTCCATTTGTCCGCTGGTCAATGCCAATTTCGACTAGCTCCGGATCCGTTTGCACGCCAATGTCGGCGGCATTCTTTTCATTGTTGGCCAATAGACCGTAGCCATCGTTGTAGTTGTGAATGGTGGCCAAACTCTGGACCCCCTTGCTGCCAGACGGTGTTGGTGACAGCTGGAGGTTGCCATTACCCTCATTGGGCATATTGTAGTGGCCCAACATGATGCCTGGATGCTCTTGCAGGACATCTTTAATGTAAACAGTACGAGGATCGGTATCCTGGTTGCTGTTCTGCTCTCCAGTAGGTCCGTCGAGAAGTTTTATGGGTGGTGATGTGGAAATCCGTGGAGTATTCTTGTCCACCAGAGAGGGTAGGGCGTACAAGCCTTTCTGGTGCTCGCCCACATAAAGTGATTGGCTGGCAAATGAAGGAATAAATTAGTAACGAATAAAGAGCACAAAAATTATATCGCTTACAATAGCTTCACGGTATTCACATTCCCAGTCTTTGACTCCTCAAGTATGGCCTGATAAGCCTCATCGGAAACCGTGGTGAATGGCACGCTGAGCAGCCCATCTGGTCCCAAAAGGAAAGCGGCCACCACTGGACTGCTAAGATCACGTTGCCACAGAAATTTACCATGTTTGCGATCTAGAGTCACTATTTGACCATTGCTGGTAGTGGTCAGATGAATGTATTCTGCGAAAGGATGAGATTATTAGTTACTACATAGAAACATCACATATTTTAATAACCAATGTTTATAGGACATCAGGACTCACCATATTCCTTGGCCAACTCTGGAGGAGCACTCACAGCATTGTAGTCGTAGAAAGTGATATTCCAGGGCTTGGCATTTTTGTTCTTGGCCAGGCTGTCGTACATCATAACAGTGTACTGAGTTCGACCGAGATATATGGCCCGCGATGTGGCCCAACCAATTTGCTCGCCCTCCTTGCCATCCATGGTGGCATCTCCGAATCCCATGACCTTCTCCCGTCTACCCGTCTTGGGATCCACCATATACCAGGTGTCGCTCTTCTTGCCGGAGTAGAGGATTCCATCGGAGGAACGGCAGGGGGCATTGGCCACTAGCTGGGGAATTGTATAGGGTAGTTTTTTGAGACTGCCCATCTGACCCAGCTGGTAAATGCTGCCATCTCGAGGATCGGGCAGAAAGTGTGGGACCTGCACATTCTCCTGGGGTTCTGCTACAATGGGAGGATCTAAAACATAAGGATACAAATCATTAAATAAAATGTACATAATTTGAAATTAATATAAGCCGTTTAAAAAATTAACAGTTTAATAGATAATATATAACATATATAAGTTAGATAATTATTTTGCGCAGTATTATTACCTTCTAAGTAATAGCCATTTCATGCTGATGCAACATTGAGAACAAGTTCCTTACTTTATGCGACAACATGTATTTACAACAAGTAAAAATTAACTTTTATATATTCCATGTACTGTTTGAATTGTTATTATCGTAAAGTCCGCTAACTGAAGCGAATTCATTAAAATGTTTGTTTATAACAACAAGTAAGTTATATATTCCCGGTAAAAAAGTACATTTTTAAGTCGGCTTCCTAGCATGTTTTATTTCTTTTAATTCTTAGATTTTGTTTTTTAATAAGTGTACTTAGTATTATGATTCACAAGTAATAAACATTTAATGTTGATAATTTCCCAGAACCAAATAAGTATAAATTAATATTAAAAATATTTCACAGACAAGGAAAAAAAGTTATAAAATTCCTGATTCAAGAACTGATAATTCCGCTGTGTAAATTTGATTCTTTCTTTATACAATATACAAAAAATGTTATAAATTTTACATTTTATATAGTTTTTCAACATTCTTGCAAATATTATCTTTTCAATCTATAAAATCTACAGGTTTTTTATGGTGAACCCCCTTTATATTATATCAAGTGTGCACAGTAAATATGTACATCCCATTAAATTTCCTGATATTGCTGCAACTAAGGTAAACTTACTGTAATAAATAAAAACCAGAACCTGTTCTCGATAAGGCTTATCTCGTTTTACTTATTATATGGGATCGAAAGTGTAATCTACAATAACCCCTCTCTCAGAACCGAGCACACATTTGTGCTGCACATTAAAGAACATGGATATTTTCCACAAAAATGGCCGAATAATTTAAGCGGGTTTTGGCGCAAGAGGCAAAGTTAAACCAAACAACAGTTGGGTAAATAAGAAAAAGACCTGTGAAGTCAGAGCTGATCGTTTCCGAAGTGTTTATGCCAGCCGTGTTGGCAATTTCTGTTATCACCAACAGTTCGCTTAAGGCAGCAAGCGTTAAATTCTTTTCCAAATGCAAATGACGGAATGTTTTAGACAAAATATAATAATTAGCAGGCCGGAATTGTCAACAAATATCGGGTAATGAAAGCAAGTAATTTGTTGTAGTGCCCATCCTTATCAGCAATTAGTTTCAACCCCAAACACATGGCTGAATAAAGAATACCGGCATTAATCGAGTGTTGCCACAATTTCTGGGGCAGGTCATTTAACCCGCCGCGGCACTTTCATTAGCACAGGCTTTCTAATTGTCTAGCGGTAGACGTAGACAAAACCTGATTTCGACTCGTGATGAGGTAATAGAACGCAGGCCATATCGGTACACAGATCTGGCGTGTTGGACCCGGCGAAACGCCGTACATAGGTAATTACCGCGAATCAAAAACAAATTATTTGCATGAATAACTCACAGAAATATCATTTAAACGCTGCGCTTTATGTGGAAAGCCCCAGGTCAGATGCTGTCCACATGTTTGTCTGCCTGAATTTTCAATCATTTGCAGTTCCACGAAGTCAGGCGACAAGCGGCCAGCATGAAATTTCTAATAATACGAATGGAACATACATGTGTATTGCAGCTATCACATAAAATAATCTTTCCGGGGCGTGGGTTTATATTTCAAAAAATTTAAACAAACATATGGAGGGCGTATTGTCCAGGGAATCATTTGGCATAACTCCAATATTTTAGTTTTTCGGGTAATTACAGAGAGTTTTTCAGGCATTACTTATCAAAAAGTAAATGGTTTAAAGTGGGAAATACAATCACGAACCCCGTGGGTGCTATTAATAGCAAGAGCCCAAGTGAACAGGGACCAAGTTAATAAAGAATGCTCGATGGAATTCAATAAATCGAACCGGGACTACCCTCTTTTCTGTTTGAAATTAACTTAGGAAATTAAGTAATTGAGTAGACATTATGATTATTATTATCATTATAGTTGCACTAACCTAAAGGCAAACTACACCAACCCATTTAATCGGATTAAAAGTCCACCTTGTTTAGAAACTACATATGTTTTCTTACCACTATGACTCATTTAGCCTCACCAATTCCGTACGAATCTTAGAGGTTAATACGAAACAGCCAAATGACCGAAAGATTAACTCGCTTGAGCCATCGAAAATCAATACGTCACGCTGATAAATCGTAGGAATATTCAATGAACCGAAAGGAAAATGGCCCAAAGTCCCAACCACCCACAACATGAAGGGTATGGACATACAGCAACTGGTGACATGGCGCACTGGCTGGCAACTTAATTGGTGGAATTGTGTGCCGAGAACGCTTGTCGAGATTGCGTATATATGTACATACGTGCGAGTCTTATCAGGCCACAGGCACAATACAATACAAATCATAAGGCAGCGAGAGTGAAAATAATAAATAATAGAGCCCGAATGGCGGCAGAACGATCTATCCTAGAGTATTACATCTTCTGTGCGATACGAAACTCGCGATGAGCTCATCGAGCGCATGTTTGTGCAACGCATTTCGCACATTAAATGGAGAGTGCAACAGCCTGGGGAAGTGGTAATTTTCCAGGCGGGTAAGGAGATAGTATGGAAAACCTAAGATAAGCGGTTTTAGATCTTAATAGAACGCAGTTAATGTAAATTCAACTATGCAAATACAGCGGGAACTAAATAACTGCTAGAATTTATATATTTTTTAACAATAAAAATTAGGAATGCAAATAAAATAAATTGAATTTTGCTTTTGAAGGGGATTTAAGGTAATATTCTAACTTTATACTCAGTAAGAAAGGCCTTAAAGTAAACAAAATATTTTTTTTATAAAGACCTTATTGATCAACTATTCTTAGAGCTTGTGATTCACTTAAATTTAAGTCAAAAAGTTATGTTCATAAGTTTTAAAATGCTCCTTATTTCCATAACATTTTTCAACTCTAATCAACTTTTTTTTATTTCGTGATTCACAGGATACTTGTTTACGGATTTCCACCCGGAAACACCGAAAAACTTATAAAACAAATATTTAAGTTTAATATAAATTTTTTGAAGCCCATATGTTTTAAAAAAATATAAGTGGATATCTTCTTTTTCGTCTTAAATTATTTCTTGTTTTCAGAAGATGAGAAGAAAACAGTCATAAATAATCTTACATTTTTCCCTCTTTTTTGAAAGTCTAAAAATACCCAGTTCTGATAAGAGGGAACCCTTATAACCCATCATATGCCTGAAATCCCACACTTGGGCCTGAAAAATGGGGGTAATGCCGTGAAAGTGGGCAACTTCGGAGTGCCCGCGTAATTACCATCTGCTATTGTCCAGCGTATTTCGCTGGTCACCGGATCGATGGCCGTCAGTCCGCCGCCCAAGGTGGAGAACACCATCAGCGCCTCCTCGTCGCGGGCCAGGTCCGTGCAGTCCTGCGTGTGGATGGGAAACCGGGTGAGCTTATGACAAACATATCGCGGGCGGCTGATGAAATATTAATTTGGGGGGCCCAACGTTAACCCTTAGTGGGTCATCGAGGCGCGTAAATCCGCCCCCCAACTCACCGTCTTCTCATCCTCGCCGCTGCTGACGACTTCTGCCGAGTCGGCCTGCTTTTCATTGGCTAGGGCTGATGCAATAGGCCCGCTGGCCAGCAGAAATAACACGCAACACGAAATCACAACGCAGAATCTCATTTTGCAAAACACTCCGCTTCTACAGCCGGTCGGGGGGTGGGGGGATGTGAGAAAGAGAGCGAGAGAGAGAGGGCACTAGTTTCTGCGATTTCCGATCCGTTTTCAGTTTGCACTTGCAGTCACTTTTGGTTTGTTGTTTCTGGCATATTATCGCCCCTTCTTAATTGCTTTTCAATCCGTAAACACTGTTGCAGCTGCGCCGGGGCTAATTTCACATGTTCTTCGCACTCGCGTTCAATATTTTCCAATTACATTCGCCATTGTTGAGTTGCGTTGAGAATTTGTCGAGTGAGCGGAGTAGAGTGACCGGATGGTAGAGGTGGAAAAATGTCGATGGAAACATCACTCGCGCTCAGTTCTTTCAGTATTTTTGTGCTTGACGTAAGCAAACGTGAAAAACGTAAGCAACCGTAAGTGTCCAAGCTAACATCGATGTCATCAAAATATGTTTATATAAATGCATTTTAAATATGTTTCACTATCAAAATTAAAATTTTAATACGTTTCATTATTAAACTGCATTTTAAACATGTTTTATTATTAAAATGCAATTGAAATATGTTTCATTATTAAAAGGCAATTTTAATACGTTTCATTATTAAATTGCAATTTAAATATATGTGTGTGAACGCACTAGCAAATGTACCGGCTGATATCGTTGCATATCGATTGGTGCGCCAACTTCGATAGGTTACACAATGCGGCTTGTTTTTACGGGAAATTCTGTTTTTAAACGCCTGCTGCACACGGAGATTGCCGGAAAGTATGCCAAGCAACAGCCGCGGAACCTTAAGGGCCGGAGCAAGAGCTCCCAGGAGTGGCTCACGCGCCAGCTGGCGGATCCGTATGTGGAGAAAGCCCGCATGATGAACTATCGCTGCCGGAGTGCCTTCAAACTGATGGAGATTGATGACAAATACGGAATTCTGCGGCCCGGAGACACACTTCTGGACTGCGGAGCAGCACCTGGAAGCTGGACGCAGGTGGCCGTGGAGCGGACCAATGCCAATGGAAAGCAGGAACGTGCGCCACAGGGAGCCGTCTTCAGCATCGACCTGTTGCATTTCCATGCTGTGCCGGGTGCCACAATCTTTGGCGGCATGGATTTCACCTCCTCCCTGTCACAGAAACGCCTGAAGGAGTCGTTGAAGGACAGAAAGGTGAACTGCGTGCTGTCGGACATGGCGCCCAATGCCACTGGTGTAAGGATGTTGGACCAGGAGAGCATTACGAACCTCTGCTACGAGGTACTTCGCTTTGCCCTGGCTATGTCAGCCCCGCATGCCCATCTGGTGGTCAAGGTGTGGGACAATGGGGATGTGCCCAAGCTAGAGCGGGATATGCTCAGGTTTTACGAGAAGGTGAAGCGCGTGAAACCGCGCGCCAGTCGCGGAGATTCTGCCGAGCACTTCCTGGTAGCCAGGAACTTTAATGGTACACCGGAAAGTTAAGCAAATATAGCCTAACTCAACTTAGATTAAGCCCAGTTTTTAAAAACTTGTTAGATCTTTTGTTTTTTTTAAAACGCTGTTGTTAATTCTACTATGCCTTCAATTTAAAATAAGAATTGAGTGAGTTTTCGTTATAATTTATTCTAAAAACTTTGTAACCTTTAGATATGAAGATTAAAGGGGAGTACTTTGATCTCAACTGTCCTATACATATTTATTTAAAAACTCAACCCGATGTGTTCAAGACAGATTTAATTAAAATATAGAGGAGACTAATTGTATAGACTACTCTAAGTACGCTTCTCCTAGTGCTTGTAGTGAGTAAGGTGATTGATCATCTCGTAAAGCCACTTGGGCTGATCGTGGGGAGCCATGTGCCCGGCGTTGCGCACCATGATCTCCACCAAATGTCCGGCGTGCTTCACATACCCGGCTACCTCGTTATCGATACGCCAAATCTCACGGGGAGCCACTTTATATTTGTCTGAGCCGGGGAACTTGAGATTGTTCAGGTAGTTGCGAGTCAGAGGATATGCCACAATAATATCCAGCTGACCGCTGTAGATGCACACTGTGTAATGGGCCAGCAGTTCGGCTATCCAGGGAGCCACACTGTCCATGACATCCTTCTTCAAGTGAAGTTCCACCTTGTTCTCCTTGTCCAGGTCGTGGAAGGGCTTGTTGCCCACATGAATGGCCCGGCGGGTGGCGCCCGCCTGCAGGAAGTTACCCAAGCTGGCGCCATCATCATCGTGCGTCTTCAGGTAGTTGTAGTACCAGTTGTAGCCTGTTAGGTTGCTGAACAGTGAGCCATTGGTCAGATCTCCGTTGATCAGGGAATCGAATACGTCGAAGGCGCAGTCCATGTCGTGCTTTTCAATGCAGGCGGCTCCCTTCGCCTCGGCATCGTGGAAGCTCTTCAGACCGTGCTCATCGATCAGGCCCAGCTGGTAGAGATAGTCTCCGTACTTGAGCTGATGCAGTGGATCCGAGAGACCGTTTCCGATGGCCACGCCCTTGAGCGGCACATAGGTGCGCGTTTCGATTGCATTTTGCACCTTGTGGATGTGGTAGGCCAGGGCGGGCACGTACTTTCCGGCATAGGACTCGCCGGTGACCCAGAATCCCGAAGAGTTGCGCCACTCGAACAGCTCGTACAGCTGCATCACAGCTTCGTGCAGATTGCGGCCAACGTCCTTCTCGTTCTTGGCATAACCGGCATCTTGATCCGTGAAACTAAAGCCGGTGCCCACGGGATTGTCGATGTAGATGAGGTTGTGCGTCTTGCTCCAGGTGTAGTTGCGCTTTTGCAGTTTTCCGTGGTCGTCCAGCTCCAGGGGACCGTTCTCGGTGAACAAACCAAACAAGGAGGAGGCTCCTGGGCCGCCCTGTAGCCACAGGACCACTGGGGCGTATTCCGGCTCCTGCTCGGCGGGGAAGTACCAGAAGAACATGTTGGAGTTGAAGCCTTCATCCACGGTCAGGTAGCCAGAGTAGCTCTCCACTCCATGAAACTGGGAACCCACCACGCGGGCCAGTTTCTGCACATCCGCCTTGTCCATGGAGGCATTGTTGATCAGGGGCGTTAGGAAAAGGGGCTCCCCGGGATCCACTCCATCATCGTAGAACTGGAAGCGAGGATACGGATTGATGAAGCTCTGCCGGTAGGGGCGTTCCGCCTTCCTTCCCTCAGCTCCACATACGGCGACTATAGCCGCGATAATTAGAAATGCGCAATGAGTTGCAGTTCTCATTGTTCCACTGCGTTGCTTCGACTGAAAAAGATACGGAGCTGTCAGTGGCTGCTTTGTTTCTGCTTCCAATGGGTGTTTACGCCCCGACCTACTCACCGATCGGCCGATAATGAGCTATATAATCAGTTCTTTCACTCTGCCTTGCCTCCTTTTTCGCACAGCCGGCGAAAAACTTTCCAATGATCTTTCAGTGTAGCCGGAGCGGTCAAATAGTAGGGTGGTCGGGTTTTCTGAATATCAGTTCAGCTGTGATTTTCTTTGGAGGTATTCCAGATTTAGGGTTGCTTTAACAAGTGTAAGCTATGTATTTTATTTTAATTGTATATAGTGCTTCAAATAAAACTGTATATGAAGATTTAAAAATGCAGTAGTTCGAACTATTTTTTTATAATTTTTAAACAAATAATTACATATACGTTTTTATCAAGAAATTTCACAGATACCTCTTTAAGCGAAATTTAGGGAAACTTGTATTGATGCATAGGTACATACAGTCAGTCACAAAAGTATTCGTGATAATAAGCTAGGGGAAAAGTTCTGTTTTTTAAATAGTTATTAATTCCAAAATGGTGAAATTTGGTTTACAATCCCCGAAGAGATTTTTGTGACAACCCCTTATAAGTTACACTCTCTTAGCCAACTGAATCTAAAGCTATTTTGGGAATCCCCCAATTATGCAAGTGAGTACCAGGGATACCATAAAATACCAGGGCATCAAAGCCTATGTTTTGATTTTTGTATAATTTATTTTCTTCCTTTCCACTCAGATACATTACCGTTTCGTTTCCCATCAAACGTATATAAATTCTTGTTCGAGTAGCAAGTCAGGTTCCCAGAATCCAATCGATTGTAAACATCGACTAGAGCCGCCAGTCCGGCAACGCCCGGGCATTTTACGTCAAAATTGTTAGTAGACGCAGCTGATTTCCCAGCGCCAAACAAAGTTTGAGCAAAAGTACACAATGTCAGTCGCCGACACCATTGAATACGTGACCCTGGGCAATCCTGTCAGCAAAATGGTGGCTTCGTCCGCATCAGCACTGCTCCGCACCCTGGTAACCAATCGAGTTTTCCAGCCAAAGTTCCGGGTGTACTGATTACGCTTCTTTTTTTTCCCACGCAGGGCTTGCGTCCCAAGAAGGTAACAGTGCAGGACACGAATATGAGTTTGGTTCCATCCGCCCAAAGCTACGGACATTCCCATGGCTCGCTATATTCCCTGGCCGGCAGCCACTACCACTTCGTGCGGCTGGCCGGGATCGGCGGGGCGTCGGCCATCTTTATGGGAGCCTACTGCAAGTACGTCCTGAAGGACGTGAGCGATCCCAAGGAGCAGGTGGACTCGCAGGCATTCGCCGATGTGGCCAACCGCATCCACTTCCTGCACTCCTTCGCCATGATGGCTATGCCTCTGGCTCACTATCCTGTCATCGTAAGTTTAAAGTAGGGGAAGTCCAAGAAATCTGATATATAAAAAGGGTTCCGAGATTGTATGCTCTTGAGAGGGGCGCATAACCAACCAAAGAAGGAAAAATAACCTTTATATTTTTAGTTATAAATTTTGTTAGGAAAGCCTTAAGGATATATGTAGATATTGCTGTATGCCTCTGGCCCAATGTCCTGTAATCGTATCTTCAAGTCAGGGAAAGTCCCAGTTATCTGATATATCTTGGGTCTCGACATTGTTTTCTTTACAGAGCTTTAATTTCCATGTTATAAAGAGCCCATTACCAACCAAACAACGAAAAATATCTTCAGAAGATCAAAATATTTCCAACTTTTTAGTTATAGATCTTATTTAGTAAAGTCATGGGACATGTGAATATCTCCCGTTTTGGATTTCCTGTGGATTTCCACTTACCGAGTTTTTGAAAGAGGAACTTCTGATCATCAGCTTAAACCCAAAAGATCCCAAATAATTCACCACATTCCCAAATCGATCGTATTTGGTTTATTTGTAAAGCTTTTGTTTCTCGGTTTTGTCGTTTACATAAACTCTGTGTAAAGTTAGATCTCTGAACGGAATTTATAACAACTCGCGTTACTCTCGAATCGAAACTCCAACACTGATACTCGTATAATTGACACTCTGCTTAGCTAGTCTAATGCGCTGATTGACATTACAAAAATTGAGCTATGAATGAATATTGACATCGGCCAAGCGCTTCCAAGTTACTTCTCTCGTACTTCTCTATAATATAGGTATGCATATGTATATTCATGTTGTATATGAAATGTTTCCAAAGCTAAAGCTAAATGTTCAACAACCACTAATTGCAGCTTACAAAGTAATTTTCAATACCACACACGATACTTGTATAATTGGATTAATTCGGATAATTCTTAGGTTTGTGATATGAGCAGGTTCATAGCTGATATGGGTTCGGGGTCTTTGGTAGGAATTTGTTAATTTATTTCAATATTACAATTATATTTAAAAATGTACCAAAAAGGCATAGATTCTCTTGATTTTTTGCTGTTATTCTGTAATTGGGTTTTGTTGTCATCAGCCTTATTTGATAAGTAAAATGTGGAGCTTGCTCGAGCTCCGTTTTGTTCAGGTTAAAGCCAACAACTAAAGCTAACATCAAAATATGCACACAAAACTCTTGCCACCTTTTGCTGACTTCTAATCTTAGACAATAAACTATTACTATAGGGCCTGTTCCGTTTTCACTAAAAGACTTTTTAGATGAAGTTATGAGTTGAACTTTCGGTTAAAGGATTATTTTTATCGGTGCTGATAGATACAAATCTTTTCCTCTCTTACATATTTTATGGTTCTATATTTAGTTTGATTCCTGACTGTGGACAATTAATTGCTATAAATTCATTTTCTTGTCTCAAGATAATTTGGTATAGTTAGTATCCTAAAATCGATTGGTTACAATAGGGTGTTGATTTTACATCAAAGGTAGTGCAAATTGGAACAGGCCTACATGCATGACTTTGGTTACTTCAAGTAAAGTGATTCTTTTTCTCCCGCAGACTGGGACTCTGATGATTACGGGCACGATGCTATTCAGCGGATGCATGTACTACCGCGCTCTGACTGGCGAAAAGAAGCTGCAGCCATATGCGACCGTTGGAGGATTCTGCCTGATGGCCGCGTGGCTGTCGCTGGTCCTGTAGGATGCGCGGATGGGAGGCTACTTATATATCTATATCTTATATAGCACTTACTGAACAGTTATGTAGTCAGAGAGGCAACTAAAGCTAAGCCAAGTTTAACATACAACATCAGCTAAAAATGAATTTCGTCTCTTTGTTTCTCTAACCGCGACGGGCAGTAATTTACAATAATTATAGTTAGTTTTAAAGTGAACTCTAGGAGGGCCTTGCAGCTAATGGAAGATACTTTTGAGTTAAATGCGTACAATTTCTTAGAGTATATAGCAGTTAGCCAAATGTGTAAATCGCTAAAATGAAATAAACAAAATAAAAACGTTTTAACAAAAGAACCAACCGAGCTGTTACATTTATTGTATACCTGTACAATAATAAATTACTATAAAAAACACACATATATATTAATACTAGGCGTAACATTTCATAGAATTCTCTTTTTGTTTTTTCCTCTTTTGGGATTTTTCATTTTTGTTTAAGGTTGTTATTGTCGTTTTACTGGAACACATAATACAAATGCAATGCGACCTTTTGAAGGCCAATGCACAAAGTTCAGCTAAAATTAATTATTGCACAATTTGCATTTCATATCAATCTTTGTTTTTTAGGTATAAAAACATTTACACTCTACGCTCCACTAACATCAGCTTATTGTCTTGCTGTTTTTTGATTTACCATCAGTTTCATCTAGTTTTATACACCTGACTAACAATTAATTTGATTTGTACACGTATTGTAAAAAAATTCCTCAGCGGCCGCTCAGTGATGGTGTCTGCTGGTGCCGCTGATGCTGTGCTATCCTAATAACTTCTGCTTGGAGGCCTCCGCAAAGAGGAAGGTCTTCTGAATGCCCGCGTTGGCCGCCGGATGATTCGTAATTGGTTCCAGTATCTTAAGTATGTAGTCTTTGAAAGCCTTCGGAACGGCGAAATGTCAAGAATCCTTCTTGAGTCTTAGGTTGTCATCATGGGCCTGGATAGAAAACGATTATAATACTATGATATAATAATAACTTTATAAGTTAACTCACCTTCTGTGCAACCTTCAGCAGGGCATCGAATGTCGAGTCTCCCGTCTGCTTCACCATGCTGTGGAACACCTTCTTCTCACTGGTGGTGAGTAACTCGAATGGAGATCCAAACTCCACCGCCTTTCCTGCATCCATGACCAGCACCTTATCCGAATCCATAACCGTGTGCAAACGATGGGCAATTGTGAGCACCGTGCAGTCCTTGAACTTGTTTCTAATCGTCGTCTGGATGAGAGCATCCGTTTGTGGGTCTACGTTAGCTGTTGCCTCGTCCATCACCAGAATGCGATTCTCTCGCAGAATGGCCCTAGCCAAGCACACCAGTTGGCGCTGGCCCACGCTGAAGTTGGTACCACCTTCGGATATCTTGCTCTGCAAACCGCTGGGAAGATCAGCCACCACATGCTTGAGCTTAACCTCCTCAAGGGATTCCCACAGCTTGGCGTCGCTGTACTCGTCAAAGGGATCCAGATTGTAGCGCATTGTGCCCGAGAAGAGCACCGGTTCCTGGGGAATAATGGAGATCTTGCTGCGCAGATCGTGCAGTCCCAAATCGTTGGTGTCGCGGCTGTCGATCAGGATGGCGCCCTCGTTGTAGGACAGCCGGAATAGAGCGTTGATCAGCGAGGATTTGCCGGCACCAGTGCGTCCCACAATGCCCACCTTCTCGCAGCCCTCGATGGCAATGTTCAGGGATCGGAGCACATAGTCGGCCGCCTTGTCGGGGAAGTACTTCAGCGACAAGTCGTCGAACACGATCTTGCCATCCTCTGGCCAATCCTTTGGTGGCTTCTTGTTCGGCTTGGACTCAAAGTCACCCTCCGGCTCCAGATCCTCGTACTCCACCACTCGTTCCACCGCCGTCATCGTGTTCTCCAGCTCCGCCGACTGCCTCATTCCCCACTGCACCATACCGGTCATGCCCATCGCCTGGGTAATGGCCAGACCCACATCGCCTCCATTCTCCGGGGAGAACAGGAAGAAGCTCAGTGTGATGACAGCGATGTAGACGACACAAACACAGTCCAGCCAGTAGCCAAAGGCTCGACTCGTGGCCAGGAACATGTAGTAGCCCGAGCTGTGCATATCCTGGTAGTTGTCGAACTCGGCAATCAGTTCCTTCTGCGCTCCAAATGCTCGGATGGTGGCCAGGCCGTTCAGGGAAGCACTCAGGTGGGAGTAAATGGGTGATCGGGCTGGAGGAAGGTAGTTCAAGGATTAGATATTGCTAAGAAAATGGTACATGTAATATCCACTTACTGACAGCTTCGAGACGCTTAACATCTCGGGATGTGCTCAGATAGAAGACACGCAGGAAGTAGAAGACGACCACAAGGACAAACGTGGCCAGGATGTACCACACGTTGACGATGCACAGGACGACCACGATACCCAGGATGGCGAGGAAGATTTGCATCACGTCCATCATCACGGAGGGGAGGATCTCATCCACTTGACCCAAATCCTTGGAGAAGCGGTTGAGGATGCGGCCGGAGGGGTTCGTGTTGAAGAAGTGCATCGCAGCCCGGGTCACACCTTGGAACATGGTGTTGTGCAGTGTCGTGGAGCTGCGCATGGCCAGGTAGAAGAAGAGCATGCTCCGCACCAGCGAGAAGATGATCACGGACACGTTGATGCCGGTGAAGTAGTAGATGTCTATGGGGTCAGTATCGGCATTGATGCGGGTCTCGGGGAAGGCGCGTCTCAGACGTGCCATAAATGTGTCTCGCTCGGCTTCACCATTCTTGTTCACCCTGGAAAAGGCAGTCGAAATTAAAGAAAGTCACGATTTAAGGGTCATAAGCCTACCAGTAGGACAGGAAGATATCACCGCCAGAGCCCAGCACCTGAGCACCAATGCAGAAGAAGGCAAACACGATAAACAGTCCATAGCCATTCGCTCCAAAGTACTTCTTGTAGAGCTTCAGTCCGATGCGTCCCTCCACGCGACCCTCCTGCGTCTGCATGGGCGACTCCGCTGCCAAGGACTCGGCGGCGGATTCCATTGAGGAGATGCTGCCATGTCGGTCGCGCAGTTTGCTGTTCTGCCGAGAGAGGCTACTCTTCTCCGGGGCATCGCCGGCACCCTCGTCCTTCTTGCTGGGATCCGTCAACATCTGGGCAAAGTCCAGGCCGCTCTTGGCCATGGACTCGTAGGTGCCCATGGCGCTGATCTTACCCTTGTCCATGATCACGATGACGTCGGCCTGTTCCAGGAACTGCAGTTGATGGGTCACCAGCAGTACGATCTCCTCCCGCAGGAATCCGCGCATGCACTGATCGAACAGATGACGTCCAACATGGGTGTCCACGGCACTGAGGGGATCATCCAGCAGATAGATGTTCGCCTTCCGGTAAACAGCCCTGGCCAAACTGATGCGCGCCTTTTGTCCACCGGACAGAGAGGCTCCTCTCTCGCCCACAATAGTCTTGTCCGCATAGGGGAGCAGCTCGAAATCCCGCTCTAGGGCGCACTTCTTCACCACCGTGCGGTAGCGATGCTTGTCCATGGGCAGTCCAAAGAGAATGTTCTGGCGCACGGTGCCGGTGAAGAGCCACGGCTCCTGGGAGGCGTACGAGAGAGTACCATTGACCTTAACCGATCCCGAATCCGGATTCAGTTCTCCCAGCACTGCCTGAATCAAGCTGGATTTGCCGGATCCCACTGGCCCAATGACTGCCACCAGCTGGCGAGGCTTGAACTTCAGCGAAATGTTGTCCAGCGTGTAGTCCGTGCTCTTCGGGTCCCACTTGGCCTTCAGTTTGCTGATATTGATGCTGTGCTCCGCTTCGCTGGTGCGTCGACTGTTTGGTTTCAGGACACCAGTGGTCTGGGCCGCAGCGGGATCGGTGATCAGACCCGCCTTGCCCAGCTTCTGCTCGTCCAGATCCTCCGACTTGTCGCGCACCTTGGTCTCCTCGTGCAGCATGAAGGTCTGAATACGGCGGATTGAGACCAGGAGCTCGGCGAACTGCGAGATGCCCATGGGGAAGTAGACGGTCATGGTGTTACGCAGGATGTTGTAGTAGGCGGTGATCACGAAGGCCTTCTCGGCGGTCAGGAGCTTTCCCAGCAGCACGAATCCCACCAAGCTCACAAACACCGATATCCTCGTCACGAACATGATGAAACTCTGGAGCGTGCCTCGTATGTAGTTCACATTGCGGATGGCGTTCATCTCCTTGGTGCGCACATAGTTGATCATCTTGCTGAAGGGGATCTCCCAGGCGTACATCTTGATCACCTGGATGCCCGAGATGATCTCGTTCATCATGCGCACTCGTTCATCCGTCCGCAGAGCCGTTTTCAATCGCAGCACCGACGTCTTCTTGCCCAGATAAGCTTGCAGGGGAATGAAGAGCAACATCACGGCCACACCAAAGAAGGCGGAGATTCCAATCTGTGGAAAGTATAGGTATTATTATAGTATAACTTGTCTAAACCGAGATTCCATTATTTCAGTAATCTAAATGAAGTCTTAATCTTTATTGTGTCCGCCCACCTTTACTTTTGAAACTCCAAAAGATTTGTTTATGAAGTGCCTTTTTGGACCTACCCCAATTATATTTTAAGAAGATAAGGGTATTTAAAACCTTAGTTCAGTTTTAAACCGCATTGATATTGTTTGAAACAACTAGATATATTTTCTACAAGGGTACACTACCCTTATATTAAGTAATAAATATCTGAGATAACTTACCTCCCTGTACATAAGATAAGTGATAATGCCGATCTCCACGGGACCCAGCCATAAATAGTTCATGTGAATGACGGAAAGATCCAGTCGGCCCACATCGTTCGAGATGAGATTGACCACCTGACCAGTTGTGGTATCGCCCAGCGCCACTCGACTCAAGCGCAGCGCCTTCCGATATATCATGCCTGCGGGGCGATCATTATTCATGTGTCACAACAAAGGGCAGAAACCCCAGCTCCAACTTACTTGTCATGGCTATTCTGGCCTTCATACCGACGTGGAACATGCCCAGCATGTAGGGATGCATGAAGAGCACGTTGCAGGCGCTCGTCAAGATCACGCCCAGGGCGTAGAGATATGCCTTCGTCTGGTTGTCGCTCTCCAGGTTGCTCGCGTCCGCATAGTAGGCCACCAGACCGCCCAGGAACAGCGGTTGGGTAACTCTGAAATAAAAGGTTTTGGTGTTATAAATCAGCCAGATGTCGGGTGGAGGGCGTTGCCCAGACAGCTTACCGGAAACCGATCTCCAAGATGAAGAGTACCAGGCCTAGACCGGCCAGGCGCCATCCGAACACGCTCATCGAGGCCTTCAGCAGACTCGGGGTCTTCTTCTTTTTGCGCTTCTTCTCGACCTCCTTCTCCCACGCCTCGCTCAGCTTGCTGCCCAGGCGATCTGGAGAAAAGACAGATTGAGATATCAACCAGGTGCACCCAGGCCAAGTCCAGATAATAAATTCCCCTTGACGGAACAACAAGGCACGTTGGCATATAATTGGCAGATTATACTGCAGTGTTTAAAGATGCTACCAAAATAAACTACCGAGAATTGAGACGTTTTCTGCCGTTGCACTATACTACCCATGTATACCATATTTATACCTATAAATTATCCCACCTACAAATATTGCGCATCGCCAATGCCAAAAGCTTCTTAGTGAAAGTAATTTCAGAACGTATATTTTACTATAAAATTTCTTAAAACAAAGTAAAATATATATAGAAATATATATTGCTTGTATTTTCGCAAACACAAACATTGAATATTTATTACTTTATTGTTTGTATTTCCACTTAGGAATACACACTCTGTGTATTTTTTGAGCTTATCATCATTTAAATTGACTATGTTATGGCAGTTATCATTGTATAAACCCTTCAAATTGTCGGGTTGTGAAATTATGAAAGATAATATACAGATTTGTATAAGGGTTCAGTCATGGATGTCGTAAAATTAATGTTATCTTTTTAGTGATAGAGATCTGTGCGTGGTAGACATGTTTTCGTCACAGCTTTGGGAATAACATCATATTTCATCATATTTAATATGTGAACTATGCCATTTAAAGAATTTCAACATACAAACAACGAATCAATATAACGTTGACCAAGAAAGGATTATTAATAGGAATGTCATGTCCGGAAATAACGATTGCTATTAAAGCTAACTACTGTATCTGAGGGTTATAATGGGAGGTAATGCTATCGTTTCTATTGTTGCCGTGGGCAATAAATCCAGTAAATAGTCATGTCTTGTGCTTTGGTTTAACCGTGAATTATGGCTGGCAACAAAAGCAAATCCCGGTCAGCTGCATTACCTCCTATCGATCTTATCGACCAGGAGATTCCCCAGCCCACTACCCTCCATATGGGGGTTCTGATTCCGGCACTTCCGCAAGGCTTGTATCAGCCTTAGATTGCAATCCGATTAGGAACTAGCAACAAAAGCCTGAGCTTGACACTTGATATTGTTTGCATCTGTACATATTTGCCCAGATATGTGCCATTATATTGTTAGCATTGCATAAGCCCCATAGCACGATCCACTCAATACAGTATCTCTAGGGGCCCATTTATTATAAGTAAGTAAATAAGCCTGAGTACCTAATTGCGTATACAATATCGGGGGTGTTCGAAAAGTGTTATCAAATATTTTGGGCAGTAAATTCAATTAATTGTGGCCAGCGGACGTTGTCAAAGATATCGAATTTGTCACATTTCGGGGCACTTCCAAAGTTTTTGAATGAGGAAATCAAAGGTCTAAAAGTGCCAGATTGGATACCACTATCTATGGCGATCGTATAATTCAATGAGAGTGAGTGATGGTGCAGAACGTTCGTATCCAAGGGCTATCTTATCGTCCGGATTAGACGCGGCTACAGTTCCGCTAAATGATCTCAATGAAATAGTTGTATATGGTGCAAATAGCAATAACCCAGACATGATATGCAGCGAAATCTAATCGCCACTTCCCCTTTCAGAGAAGAGCCCTTCAATGCTCGCTGATCCTTCGAACTCACAGAATAACCGAAAGGCTTTACAATCACAAAAGGTGGGCGCATGCTTAGCCCTATCTAATCGTAATCGTCGGGTGCCTTGAAGTGCCGGGGAGACACTTCATTCGGGGAGTGTCTGAACGCGAGAGATAGTGCGCTAAATATGCGGTTTAGTCGGTTATATAAATTATAGTTGGGACAGCAAGGAAGCGTTCAATATACTCCGGGTATCAGGGATTTCTTCGGGAACCACTCAATGTCTGGGCAAAGGGCAATGAAATCGAAACTCGAATGATCATTGCACTTACGGATGAAGAGGGAAAGGTATCAGGTGTTTTTACTAGGGTGACTAATAAATGGGATATAGTCACATAGTAAAACCCAATCATCATCTAGTGGAATCTATTGCCACATGACGTCACGTATGGCATAATCTTGCATACGTGCTGATAATAAATTCTTCTCTCTTTCAAAACTCCTTAAGGGCAAATCAGCTTATCAGACTTTCTTTGCTATTTCCATATAATAATTAAATTAATTGATTATAGACTATTTCGCAGATAGAGTCATAAATAATCTTGGCCTTAGTCCAAGACTGTTCATAATGACAGATCTTTTAGGGTGTTTTCGCACTAGAGAACTTTGATAAAGTCCTAACAAAACTTACCTGATTTGTGCTCCTGTAAGGCCCGGTATAAATCATTTTCATCCAGGGTCTTTTTGCGACCCTTAAAGAATGTGGGCATGGCAAAGCTAAGGAGAAAGTTTCGAATTAAAGGAGATATCAAAGAATTTAGAATTGGAAACTTACCAGAACATCAAGGATGAGAAGATGTTCGACGTCTCGCGCGGATTCTCCGGCAGTTCATCGGCTTTCATTGACTGCATTTTGGTCGTTTTCTAATTCTATCGATTTCCTAACATTGGTCGGGGTGTATCTCCTGTACAGGTGCCGCTGTAAATAAATTACAATACCATAAAATAAATATATGGCTGGAAAGTGGTTTAATTCTTTCCTATCCCAATCAGTTCCCACGTAAAATGTCCAATCTAAAGATTGTGGACGCATGATGATTGCGCTTTTTATTTGGTTTTTTTTATTATTTCAGTTTATTTTTCTTAACGCTTTGTTTGGCCCGTGATAAAAGTGATGTGGTAAACATAACATGGCCTATATATTTTGTTTAAAGTTGAATGGATGTGAACAAATTTTTGTTGGATTTATATACTTGTTCTTTTCTGTCAGTAATAGCACTTATCTAAGTCTTTAAAAAATATAATATGTATGCCTTTAAATGATTAACCCTTATTGAAGAGTTTATTAATCTGATAATATTTTATATTTTATTTTATATATGTATATATTATATATTTTTTTTAACGGAGCTTTGAATGATATATTTAATTTAAAATCTATGTTCAATTTTCTTTATAAAATTTGTCGAAGTCCTTAAAACATCCAAATTTGGTGTGCATCCATTCCATTTAATTTTTATTCACTATTTCTTCACTTTTTTAGCTGAATAGATTGTTTTATTTTAAACAGGACATTTTTTTTTGGCTTTTGAATGTTTTTATTAGCTTGGATCACTTTTCAATTCGTTTTTTACAAGTTCCCGTAAACGATGTAGTAATAACTTGGTTCCCACGCGCGGCACAGTTAACGAATGGGGAAATCCTTCAGGGCGAAGACTCACGGTACTTTTCCACCTGGCGGATCCGGCGGCAGCTTCTCGTTAACACTTTGTGGCGCTGGTCGTGAATGAACGGCTCTTTTATAGGCGGATGAATGAACCGCAACCCACGCACACCAGTGCACGAGCTATTATCAAAAGATCGCCTCGCCGGAGAGCGAGAGAGACGGGCTGGAGATAAGAACGATGCTCGCACAACACCCACACATTGACGGACTAAGATCGGGAGAACGTTGCTTGCTCTCCCCACTCTCTCTTGGCTCCTGCTGGTCTTATCACTCTTCTTTTTTGTTTATATTTGCCCAGGGAGCACTTGCATTTTGTTTTTACCTCTCTTTCGCGGGCGCAGCAGCGGTGGATGCGGAAAACGGTGTGCAGGGGAAAACGAAAGTCTCCAAAAGTGGGGTCAAATCAATAGGACAACAAACGGGACTCCTGTGGCGGTGCTCTTCCTCTTCTCGGTGCGCCTGGATGTGAATGTGCCCCACAGGACACGCGGAAATAATGGTGCGTTGTTCTATTTGCTGTGTGCTGAATTTACAAAGTTGTGCAGTGAAAAACATAAAAAACGTTAAACAAGTTCCAGTGCGTGCGCGTCGAATCTGCGCAGAGATGAAAAGCGGGCTGTCAAAACCAGAACGGAAAACTGGCAGATACACAGTCGCTCACGAAAGTATTCGTACCACAGACATGTTTGTGCTTGTACATATTCGTGATAAATAAAAAATTTTTGTAAAACCTTCCTCGAGTGAAAAATTATGGTACTCTTTAACTTCTCTTATGCCCACATTTGTTCTCCTTTTAATTATAATTATTATTTTTATAGTTTTTCTTAAATTTATTTATTTATGAATTACCGTTTCTTCATGTACATTTTCGTGATAAATTAATCTTTTTGAATCTAATTTAACTTTTCGTTGAATAAAACATGTCTTTACTTTATAATTTCTTTAATAATCTTTAAAAATAGTAATAATGCAAGTCTGATAGCTACAATAATTACCTTTTAATAACTATTAAGGATTGTTCATCAAATCGAAAATATATTTAGATTCTTAAGAAACTGTTCCAAATAAAAAAAAATTAACAAAAATGTTAAAGGTAGTTTGGGACCTGTAATAGATAATTATTGTATATTTAACAACTAAAATTTAAAATGAAAATTTATTGTATTTTCTATTTGTTTTCCAAGAAAATAAACAAATGACTAGTCTACAAAACTTTAATAGATGTTTTCCAGCACTATACTTCCAACTACTTTCTCCGAAGGTTACTTTGAAAAGAAAGTATGACCTTTCAAAAAAGATTTATATTAAAACTTAATAACATTTTAACAAATTGATTTGGCATTGAAAGGCCAGAAAACGTCTTGACTTGGAAAAAAGAGTCAAGAAGTTCGATACACATGTATGTACAATGTACCCTGTAAAGTTTTACAAGTCGGTTAGGCATTTTGTGGCCTTAGAAGATAATGACTTCAAGAACATTTGCTTATCAAAAAAGTTATTTATTAAAAACTTGGACACTGCCGAATCTTGTTATTGTTCGAGCTCTATAAAGTAACAGATATCCTCTGGTTGCTCTTCGGTGGGCAGGTAGACGATCTCCTCGTAAACATTTTCTTCTGCAGGTGCATACTCTACTACATCGAACCCGTGTTCTGTTTGGATCAGCTCCTCGATCTCCACCAGGGATGCAGTCTCCGCCAATCCATTTTGCCCCTCCAGGGCTTCAATTTCTACCATTACATCTTCCCCTGCCAGGGCATTTATCTCCTCAATGTCATGAACAGTATCCCCTTCATCGAACTCCACCACAACATTTTCCTCCTCACCGCCTTCGAGTTCATCCAGGTCATTTGCCGACTCCAAGTTATCATCCCGCTCCTGCATTCTGGCCTGGTGCCTCGTCGACTGCAGGTGGCGAACGAAGGCGAATCGCCGGGCTGTTCTGTACTCACAGGCCGCGCACTCGAAGGTGGAACTGCCTTGCATGAAGGGTTGATATTCATCTTCCATGCCCTCAATCATCTGTTTTTCCTTCTGGGGAATATACTCTATGTACTCGCTTGGCTCCAGCAGCCTCTGGACATCATTGTGCTCCTCCAAACTTGGGTGGGTTTCTAGGCAGGATTTTGGCTTGATACTGTAATCACTGGGCATACAAGTGAACAGGATATGGTCGGTGTGTTGTGATGTTTCAGAATCCGAGGCCACTGGCTCCCCCACTCTTTTTCTACGCTTCGTGTGAATTTCCTCCCTGTCTGCCTCGTCCATCAGCTTTTCGCACTCCTCCATCTCCCTCATGATGTGGCGCCTCGACTCCTTGTGCCGCACATAGCAGAATCGCTTGGCCGTTGTGTAGTCGCAGACTTTGCAGGAGAACAGGGAGCGATCCACGTCGGAATCGGAGTCCGATCGGTACTCTTCGTGCTCGTGTTTCTGGGAACGCCTGTGGCGCTTCAAGTCCCTCCTCCTGTCAGTGGAGTAAGTGCATCCGCTCAGTTTGCAAACCAGTCGCTTTAGTTTCACCGGCTTATTGTCCTGTTTCACAGACTGTGTTTCGATGTCCAAACCTGGAAAAGGGGGTATGTTTGGGATCTTTAGTAAAGCGGCTTTTGTGCTTTACTGGTACTCACATTCTTCATCCTCGTAGATAAATTCGAGAGCCTCTATCTGGAGGGTTTCCGTACCCTCGTATGTCTGCGACATATTTTAATTTTTGTTTTAAATAACGTTTTGTTTAAAAATAACAAAACAAATCAACAATTGTTAATGCATGTTACCAACATGTTCAAGCTTGAAAATGCACAAAAGTAGGACCGCATATGACAATAATAAAAAGGAACTTGTCTTCTAAAAACTATTAGATTTTTAACTAAAATAGGTTAAATAAATCCTTAAAGTATTGAACTAAGTCTTAATATTTCGTTTAATTTCTCATATAAAAATGAATAAGTTTAAATATTAATACAATAGTCACCCTGTGAAAACCACTTGTTACATACAGACAAGCCGGTGCTTGCCTCTGGTCACACTGATCGTTTTTAATTTTTTATAACTAACTCGATCTTATTTTTAAACTAAATTTTATCCGTGTTTTATGCAATATTCATTATATATTTTATTAGTAAACATTTCTAGACCAAAATGCAGTCCGTACTGACCCGCTCGGTGAACATTGGTAAGACAAAGCAGTTTGTGGACTTTGAGCCCAGCCATCAACAATCGTATTCTATAAGTAAGATCCTTAAACCGATATTGTTTCAGCCCGCAGATCATTGAATGTGCGGCAAATTGCATCATTGTCGGCCCTCTCGGAGACCCACCAGATGCTTCAGAAGTCCTGCAGGGATTTTGCCAACTGTGAGCTAAGTGGAAATGCAGCCAAGTTCGATCGGGAGCACCTGTACCCGGAAAAACAGATTCGCCAGATGGGCGAACTGGGCGTGATGGCGGTAGCGATTCCCGAGGAGTTGGGTAAGAGATAACCCACCTGGTATCCACCTAGATAATCCCCTACTGCTGCTCTACAGGTGGCACCGGTTTGGATTATGTGGCCTATGCCATTGCCATGGAGGAAATCTCTCGGGGATGTGCCTCTGCCGGTGTTATCATGTCGGTGAACAACTCCCTCTATTTGGGACCTCTTCTCTCCTTCGGTAACGATGCCCAGAAGGCTAACTACATCACTCCCTTTACCACCGGCGAGCGAGTGGGCTGCTTTGCCCTTTCCGAACCTGGAAATGGTTCCGATGCCGGAGCTGCGTCTACGGTAGCCACCGACAAGGGGGATCACTTTGTGCTGAATGGCACCAAGGCCTGGATCACCAATGCCTTCGAGGCGGAGGCAGCCATCGTATTCGCCACCACAAACAAGCAGCTGAAGCACAAGGGCATCTCCGCCTTCATTGTGCCGAAGGGTACCAAAGGATTCTCGCTGGGCAAGAAGGAGGACAAGCTGGGCATCCGGGGATCCTCGACTTGCCAGCTGATATTCGAGGACTGCGCGGTGCCTAAGGAGAACATGCTGGGCGAGCCGGGTTCCGGTTTCAAAATTGCCATGCAGACGTTGGACGCCGGACGGATAGGAATCGCTGGCCAGGCACTGGGCATTGGCCAGGCAGCCTTGGAACTCGCCGTGGACTACTCCCAGAAGCGACAGGCCTTTGGCAAACCCATCTCCAAGCTGCAGTCCATTCAGCAGAAGATCGCCGACATGTCGCTGGCCATGGAATCGGCACGTCTGCTCACCTGGCGCGCCGCCTGGCTGAAGGACAGCAAGCAGCCCTACACCAAGGAGGCCGCCATGGCCAAGCTGGCTGCCTCGGAGGCGGCCACCATGTGCTCCCATCAGTGCATCCAGATTCTGGGAGGAATGGGCTATGTGACCGACATGGCAGCCGAGCGTCATTACAGGGACGCCCGCATCACCGAGATCTACGAGGGCACCTCCGAGATCCAGCGGCTGGTCATCGCGGGCTCCATACTCAAGGAATATGCTAGTTAAGATCAAAGTTTTTACCTAAAGTTAAGAAAAATGTTTGTTCGTAGAAATCCTCATGGAAACAATTGTACACCGACTTATGATAGATGCCCACAACAACTGAACAATAACCAGAAATTTGTATATACCTCTTTTTTTAAGAAGTCAATTTGAAGAATTTTTAATGATTAAAAGGGCTAAAAGTTTTAAATTGTTCTTTTTAATATTTCAAAAGGTAAACAAAAATAAAATGTATTGTGTATATTTAAATTTACGTAACTAACTTTACCAAAAAAAGAACTGAGTTACAAACATTTTTAAAATATTAAAATTAAATAAAATTGTAATTTGTTTTATTTTAAGCACAATGGGAATTTTTAAAAAAGAGTTGGAGTTAGCGCCAAACTTCCAGCAATGTCTTCAGCTAGACTGTTTGGTATATTTAGGGCATCTTTTGGTATATTTCCGACAAAGCGCGAACGGTCACACGCCTGCACATTTCCACAAGTTTCTTTATTTATTGATAATTATTCGTTACGCGGCAATTAACGCGATGCAGTTGCATCAAGTGCGTGGTAGTGGGCCCGTGTGCCACTGAGGAGCGCGCGTCCGCCTGGCAGAAAGTGCATCAATTGCGCGGAGTCCGTCCAAGAACACAATAGTTAGTGCCAAGAATAGCTGCGATCGAGCCCAGTTCCCAATCCAAATCCGCATCCGAATCGGATCGAAACAGCAGCAGCCGCGATGGATGTGGTGTGTGTAATCGATACGGCGGTGGGCGACCATCTGGAGGATCGCCTCTGCGCGCTGGAGGAGATCAAGCAGGCGGTGCAGTCGGCTGGCGCCAATTTTCAGCGGGTTCAGGTGCGCCAGATGGGTTATACAATGCTATGCATATGAGGCGAAGTATATATCCCAGTGACATCTCCCACTTGCCATCCCATCCTTGCAGTTCGAGCGCCTGGACTTCGGGGAGACGAATGTGCTGGAGACGTTCTACAACGCCGATGTGGCCGTCATCGACCTGAGCATCCTCACCCAGCAGCGACCGCTGTCCTATCACTACGGCGTCCGGGAGAGCTTCGGCATGAAGGAGAACATTCTCATCTACAACGATGTCGAGTCCAAGCAGACACTCAGTCTCAAGGTGCGTCCCCTGATCCCCTTCTGTTTACGCCACCAGGTGTGTCTGGTCAAACATCTGCGGGCGTGATCGGGACTCCCTTTCCGATAAGATAAATGCTATGACCAGCTACGGTGAAGAAACGGCGGCCAAATCGCGACTTCTGCCCTAGTTGTTGTTGCCGATCTGTGTACAGTCAAGCTTCGATAAGTCGAACTTCATTTTCTAGAAGTTTCTGTCAGGGTTTTTATAGTTTTTATTATACAAGAACATAAAATCAAATCACTATATATGTACAATAATCCTTCATTTAAGATTGGTACGGAATTTTGAAATAGTCTTCAATTTTGGTTTTTGATTTAAAATATATTTGGCTTGCGCCATTACGTTTTGATCGTCAGGGAATTTGTTTATAAAATGTTTATACTACTACTGTCGATAGATCTTGAAAAAGTTTTGAACTTGTTTATACATGTATTAACTTGGAACTTTTTTAAAGCATCTCCTTTAAAAATATAGGGATTCTGAAAGTAAAAAAAAGATTTTTTAAATATTTTTTTAATTATGAGCGATTTTCCTCCTAAGGTTTTTTAAGACATGTTTTATACTTTGTTCCGAAATTCGATTTATGGAAGCTCTACTGTATTTCCGTGGAAACGCTTTCGTTATTTTTGTTTTGGCCGCGGCCGTTAAACAACAAAAAGCGTCGGCCCCAGCAATAACAATAACAAATGCGAGCACGCCCACGCAAACACTCAAAGCGGCACGCACACACCTTCACCAGCGGCGTACACCAACGCAGTGTGGCCTGCATTCACAGTGGCGGCCACTGCATTAGGCTCACCTCTTTGCCTTTGCAGCTCTCGTGTGCCAACTACCTGTTCCTCAGCTACAAACTGAATGCGGAGAGCAATTCCTGCCACCTGACCAACCAGCCCAACAGCAACAAGGAGCCCGCCACCGAGTCACGGGTGCCCACTCTGCAGTGGCGTCTCAAGAGGAAGCTGCAGGATGTGGAGATCCAGTCGAAGTGAGTACTTGCAGCAAGTCATCCGACACCATTAAGATAAAATGGGGGAATGTATGCACATTTTTTATAAATTTCCGCTGCATGAGATTGAGCCAATAAGTCACGATTTACGCGTAAAATCAATCCGACCGATTTATTATATTGGTTTAAGAACAAGAAGGCATATCAAATATCAAATATTGTGATTTCTTGCTAATTAACACCAATTTGAAATTCTTTTGAATTTAAACAGAGAAATTGGCTCACGGTGTACATATAAAATTAATCAGATGCTAATTCCAAATTAATAAATGTTAATACCACCCAATAATTACTAACTCAACCAAAAAAAGTACTTTGACTCTTCAAAAAGAAGCAACGCAAACTTCCCTCCAGAACATGGAAAAATGTTTTGTTTTGCTTTATTTATGTACCTACAAATTAACCCAAGCTATTTTCGGTTACTTACAGAGCCCACATGCGTGAGAAATTTCTCAGCGACATGCGAACGGCGCGGGACACGTACGCCACCAATACCGCCAAGCTGCAGAGCATCTTGCATGAGATGCGAAAACGACTGGACGACCCGCATGTCCTCTCCGGCGAGGTGGTGCACAGCTTCATGTGCTCGCTGAGGGATGTGCAGGACTACGATGCCATGGTGCGGCTGGTGAACGACCTGAAGAACATACCCAACACGCGGAAGTATGTGGAGACGGGCAACATGAGTTTCCTGTACGCCTTCGCTCTGAACCGAAGGAATCGAAAGGGTGATCGGGAAAAGGCGCTGGAATCCTCGCTGAAGGCGCTCGAAAAGAAGGAGAACCACTTCCCGGACATGCTTTGCTTGTGCGGCCGCATCTACAAGGACATTTTCGTGGAGTCAGACTACACGGACGCCACAAGTCTGGCGCACGCCATCAAGTGGTACCGCCAAAGTTTCGAGGTTCAGCCAAATGAGTACGCTGGCATCAATCTGGCCACCTTGCTGGTCATCGAGGGCAAGGAGTTCACAAATACGGAGGAGCTGCAGCACATCGGCATGACTCTGAACAATTTGATCGGCAAGAAGGGCAGTCTATCTTCGTTGAGCGAATACTGGGACGTGGCCACTTTCTTCGAGATCTCCGTTTTGGCCAAGGACTATGCCAAAGCGATCCAAGCTGCCGAGTGCATGTTCAAGCTGAAGCCACCCAACTG